CGGTTAAGGCAATCGACGATTGACTTACTCCCTCACTCAACTCAATGGTTGGTCGGCTTAATCACGCTTAACTAAATTACTTAATTCAACATAGAGGTTTGCCCTACATTAACCTGAATATGTGGCTTAGAAATCCCTAGGAATCCCAACTCAATTGAGCCTCCCTTGAAAGGGGTTCTTCCCTCTCTAATCTAGGTTAAAATGGCCAATTAGATTGCTAAGCACAAACATGCACAATCAACATGAAAAATAACTCAATCATTGAATTAAACAACACCCATAAACAATCATTCAATTCACATAACAAAAACTACATGGTAAATAGTTAAGGTTTCACAACACCCAAGTGAAAAAGGAAACTACTTCATGCTAGAAAGGGGAGAAACACAAGAGGAAGATGTAGAAACCATCATGGTGATGCTTCCAATCTTCTTTGAGCTTATGTTGAACTTCTCTTGGGGAGAATCTTCCCAATTCACCACTTGGAGCAAACCCTAGCCTTCTTCCTTCCTTGTTTCGTTCTTTCTCTCTCTAAAATCTGAAGAAGGCACTTTCTCACTCTTGGGCTCTCCCTTCTCCCTTCCTTTTAGCTATGCTTTTAAACAGGAATCGGCCTCAGTTCACGGCCGTGAACTCAATGTTGGAATCGAAACGCACCGCTTTCGCTTGCACGGGTTTACGGGCAACAACTCCAGTTCATGGTCTTAGTGACCGTGAACTCACCTCGCTTCAGTAACTTAAGATTTGGCCCTGGACGCCTGGGAGTTCATGGACAACAGCTCCTCTTCACGGTCTTAGCGGACCGTGAACATCTAAGAGAAACCGTGAACTGCCGGTTTTTCACCTCTTCTCCCGGTTTTCGCTCCTTTTCGTCCAACTTTCGACTCCGGGGCTAGTTTCACCTGTTAAATGCTGAAACATGCTAAAACACAAGAAACCTCGCGTAAAACCACCCTTTTAGGATCATAATTGCCACAAACGCCTAAGGAAAACGGTGGTAAAATATGTGCAATTAGGCTCGAATCTCTAGTGTTGACAATTTTTGGGTCGAGGACGAGTTTTACCCTTGACAGAGTAGGGCCGTGAATGTATTTTATCCACTTTTGTAATCACAGAATTGGGTCGAGAACGCATTTAGCTTATTTTTCCGACCCTGTATCTGTGTTGCCAAATTATAGGCCGAGAATGAATTTTACCCGCTTCTGTAATTAACAAATTGGGTAGGGTGTGGATTTTGTTAAAAACTCTCCCCACTTTATCGATTTGAATCCAATGTTGATGAATTTTGGGTCGAGGACAGTTTTTACCCTAGACCCTTTTGGGGGAGTGAATGAATTTTATCCACTTTTGTAATCATTGAATTGGGTCGAGAACGCATTTTACTCGATTTTTCAATCTAATTTAACCTGGTCAAAGCGAGTTGAAACCGTGTTGACGATTTTTGGGTCAGGGATGAATTTTACCCCCTTTTGTAATTCGATCCGGTATGTGGGTTTTGACTCATCTATAGTCCTACTACTCTTAACTCGGTTTGACATAAAAACAAATTCACCTTGCTTACCTCTATTGTTTCGTGTGTACACGTGTTCGTTGTACTGCGATTCTGATGTTGTTGGCTGCTATTGTGTTTCCTTATGTAGTTATTTTATTCGTGTTGGTTACCTGATTCATAATTCTTCTCTTCTTAACTTCTTTTGTGTTTCAGCTACCGCTTATGCAATTTTTCTACCGCTTATGCACTTTTTCGTGCTTCTGCTACTCCTCCTCCTCCTACTACTACTACTAGTTTTCTAGGTGGTGTGGTGTATTCTCTAGATCTAATTCTGTACAACTATGCCGAATGGGTCAAATAATTTATTTTAGATACCTTATGTGCCTCTAATGATGTGATTAGATCAAGTCTAGGAATGCTTTTGTTATTTGCAAGGGCTTACGGTCACAATTGGAAATAACAATTCATGAATATCATTTGCAGTGCAAATGGAATTGAGAGATTTACTTGCAAACCCATTTTCTCATAAATAACAGATATCGAATATCTACTTGATAATTTAAGGTTTGCCATCAGAAGGGAATGTTGGTTGTCTCTTAAATTTCTCTCGAATATGTCAAATCACTTTATTTGCACTATTTAAGAGCATGTTGGAGTGAATTGGATGTGGTGCTACTCCCTCTAATATTTAGCGGATCTTGCCTTGAACAATAACGGGTGCACTAAACTTTGCTTATCATTTAGCAGATCCTCCCTTTAATATAGAGCGTTCATGTTTTCTCAAATCACATTTCATGGTGACTGATTATCTTGTTGCGAAGCGCGGGCTTCCATTCTAGTATATATATATATATAAAAGAACAAGTAACCAAGTTACTATTGCATAGTGTCCCATCATAAGGGGTGGTCATTTGTAATTGACCAAAGTTTGGAGAGGTTTTATACCATTAAGGTACTAATTAATTAACTTACTACAATTGAACCCTAATTGAACTCAAATCAATGATTGTTCGACCTACTTCGATCCATTTGAAGCGAGTTGAATCGAGTGTTTACAAATTTGTGCTTTAATAATTGATTAACTTATGACAATTAAATCCAAATTGAACCCAAATCAATGGGTGTTTGATCTACTTCGACTCAGTTTACGGCAAGTTAAACCCGATGTTGACGAATTTTGGCTCAACAACGAGTTTTGCACGCTTAATTCATTGAAGCTTGAAGGAGGTTCTAATTAGTTAACTATGGCAATTGAATCAATGGGTATTGACCTGCTTTGATATGATTAAAGCAAGTTGAACCCGTTGTTGGCGAATTTTGGCTCAACAATGAGTTTTGTACGCTTAGTTTAAGCGAATTCAACTCAGTGCTTACGAATTTTGCCTCCACAACGAGTTTTGTGCTTTAATCATTGAAGTTTGGAGGAGTTTTTGTGCCATTAAATTTCTAATTGATTAACTTATGCCAATTAAATCCAAAGTTCTAATTTATTAACTATGACAATTAAATCCAAATTGAACCCAAATCAATGGGTGTTCGACCTACTTCGACTCGATTGAAGGAGTTGAACCTGGTGTTGACGAATTTTGGCTCAACAACGAGTTTTGCACGCTTAAATGATTGAAGCTTTGAGGAGTTTTGTTCCATAGAGGTTCTAATTAGTTAACTTATGACAATTGAATCGATGGGTATTCGACCTACTTCGATCTAGTTAAAGCAAGTTGAACCAGTTGTTGCCGAATTTTGGCTAAACAACGAGTTTTGCACGCTTAAATCATTGAAACTTGGAGGAGTTTTTGTGCCAAGGTTCTAATTAATTAACTTTTGACAATTGAACCCAAATCAATAGGTATTCAACCTACTTCGACCAGGATTAAATCGAGTTGAACCCGTTGTTGATGAATTTTGCAACAACAACTGGTGTTGCAGTTGAATCATTGAAGCTTGGAGGAGTTTTTGTGTCTTTAAGATTTTAATTAATTAATTTATGACAATTAATTTCAAATTTAACCCAAATTAATGAGTGTTCGACCTACTTCGACCCAGGTTAAGCAAGTTGACCCGGTGTTAAAAAATCTTGTCTCAACAACGAGTTTTGCACGCTTAAATTATTGAAGCTTGGAAGAGTTTTTGTGCCATAGAGATTCTAATTAGTTAACTTATGACAAATGAATCCAAATTGAACCCAAATCAAAAAGTATTCGACCTTCTTCGATCCGGTTTAAGCGAGTTGAACCCGTTGTTTGCGAATTTTGACTCAATAATGAGTTTTGCACTTGAATCATTGGGTACATATTTGACCTAATGTCGACCCGATAAGATGAGGCACTATTTTTTTTTGTCACGTCAACTATGATTTTAAAAGTATTTAAATTTGTTACTGATTAATCTAAGTCTTTTGGTCAACTATTCTGACTGGTTAACGACGCGTTTTGCACACTTAAATCATTGGGTATGTGACCTAATGTCGACCCGGTAAGATGGGGCACTGTTTCTTAGTGTCCCGTCAACTATGATTTTAAAATTATTTAAAATTGTTAATGATTAATCTAAGTCTTTTGGTCAACCGTTTTAACTAATTCTTTTTGTGCCAATTGCCCAATATGAACTCTAATCAATGTGTATTTTATCTAATTTGACCCGATATTGGCAAATTTTGAATCGAGGACGAGTTTTGTACGCTTTTCTAATTTATGGGTTGGGTCGTTGTAAACATAAGTTTTGGTCCATTTTTGGTCATTTCCTAAATAGTTTGACCTATGAATTATGTCATCGACCGTCCTTGGTTTGTAAGAATGAACATAAGTTTGAATTACTAACATAAAAAAGGTGTACTGCAACGTCGATCAAAATATGTTGTACGGATGAACTTAATTATAGAAAAGTTATGTTTCAAAATGCCTTATTACCTGCGGAATCGTTTATGTTACAATTTGATCGTATCACAATGATACACTATCGGTTGATCAATGATAGCATTTCTTATCACTGAAATAGTTTACAAGCCTGAAACATGTACTTAGAACTAAAAAACACTTTGTTACAAACAATCAAAACCCCGCCGCGAAGTGCGGGCTTCCATTCTAGTAATGTATTAAAAAAAATACGTAGACAAGTACAATTGTGATATATCTCTACTCAGATGGTCACACAGATTATGTACATATCAACTCTGTAAATTACAAAACAAGCTTCTCGTATTTAATTATAAAAAAACAAATACTACACAAGCTTCGTATTTGTCAGATTTTTTTTCTTTTTGCCATTTTCATATTTATCAGATTGAATCTCAATAGTTTATTTTTGTGGCCAGATAATATAAGTAGTACATTGAAATAGTTTGAATACGTTCTTTTCAGTTTTCACTCAGTCACTCTTACCAACCAAATTTGTTTAACTAAAATCTGCTAACCAGGGTGACAACTTCCCAAAAGGTCAACTTTATTCCACTTTTGACTTTTGGCACAAAAGAGTAAAAAACGAAATTGGCAAAGCAAATTTCACTCATCTACAGAAGCGGCGTCTTAATAAAAGCCAAATGGGTCGAATTCGCGACCCTCGTCATCGTCTTCAGCTCGTAAGCAATCCAGCACCTCGACGCATCACTGTGGTAAAAGTATCCCAAGCACTTGCAATCTTTGCTACACTTGTCGGCGCAGGATTCCTGCTTCACCGGCGCATCACCTCTCGTATACTTGGCCACAAAGTGATCAACCCCTTTCAGCTCGAAGTACTTAAAGTCGCCCTTCTTCTTCCCGCCGCAGTCGTTCAACTTCGGCGCCATGCAATCTCTGCTCCAACCCGCCAGCCCGTTCGGAGTCGGGCACCCGACGCACTGGCTGTCCTCGCAGACTCCGAACTCGCCGCACCGACCCGGCAGCTGGCATTTCGTCTCCAGAGCCCACAGATCGTCTTCGGAGAATATGGTCACCGCGATTTCCCACAGCTGGGTCTGGAACCCGTCGGAATCGGTGCTGATTATGAACGTGTGGACCCTGAGGTTGCCGTCGATTTCGAGGCGAAGGTACGACAGAGTGGTGTTGAACCGTGGGTTTTTCAGGAACGTCCCTCCGCCTCCGGCGCCGTCGTTGGTGACTTGTGTGTCGAAACCCAGGTTCGCGTTGAAGGTGGTGTTGATTAAAGTGGTGTTGTTTGGGAGGAAGAGGCGGTTTGCTGCGAGGAATGAAAAGTACCGATAAGGTGTTCGACTTTTTGCCCCAGTGAAATACATAGCTAGGTCTCTGGGTTCCAGAACCAAACTGTAATCCCCGTTCTTGTTCTCTTCAGGCGATGCTCGGCTGATTAGCTTCGACGGGGATCCGATTCGGAGCGACTGGCCGACCAAGAAGGTGGCGGTGGGTGAATCGAAGCTCTGCCAGACGAATCCGCCTTTGGAATCCTTGAGCACCATGTTCCCATTGTTGAGCAGCTCGAACCCAACCACGCCCTTGTCGGCAGTGTTGGATTGCCAAGCGATTCGACCGTCGGAATGTGCCAGGACGAGGTTTCCATTCGCGCCGAGGGAGAAAGTGGCATTTTCGCCAACTGGGTTGCCACGATTGGCCTCCCAAACCCACCGCATCAAGGCTTCCGACCTCACGGTTCCCATGCGCAGGGCCAAGGTGTACTGCCCTGGAGTGGTGTTGTAGAAGCAGAGCTGGAATGGGGTGGTGGCGATGGACAGAACGCGGTAGTTCGCGTTGTATTCGACGATGTAGTCGCCGAAATCGCCTTCGTTGGTGAAGGAGAATCGGGCGGAGGGAGGGACGGTGGCTTGGGGAGTGGAAGGGAAGATGGAGAGGGACAACAAGGAGATGCAGAGGAAAATGGCTGGCGACATTTTGAGCGGGGAGAGCATTGTTTTTCGATGGAGTTGCTTGCTCTGTTTTGGAATGGGATTTGGCAGTGGTTTTCTTGATTATATATAGGTGGGGAGGAATTATGATGGAGGGTTCTTTTCTCAGTCAAGATCTGCAATCGTCCAAAGTCTCTACAAATTCATTATTCAATGGCGACCGGCTGCTGAATGAATGAATTGGATAATGGTGGCGTTTGGATCAAGTTGGCACGTTTACAGCTTTTCCTCACTTTGTCACACTTCCATTGTTTATTATTGCTGTTCTCTTTTTGTCTGGAACTTTATTCCTCTTTGGGGCTGCTGAAACGAAGATAGAGTGTTTTTCATAGATACTAGTATTCATGCCCGCGCTCTGCGCTGGGACTTGTGATATATTCACCAAATAGAAAGATTACATCAACAAATTATTTATGTTCAATCATCATGTGTTTATTTGCTATAAATATTAATTAATTTGCTACTTAAAACCAAGCAAAATAGTTTTAAGCCTGCAGGCATCTCATAAAGCGAAACAGACAATATTAAGAAGGCCGAAATGTAGAGTTGAGCTTTGCCACAACTTAGCATTCGGATGCATAATATAAACAAACTACAAATTATGACTTAGGACCCATGTAATCTATGCAGGCCCAATCAAAAATGGGGGAAACTATGTGTAAGGGCATATTAAATCAATTACAGTATGTAGTAAATTACACTGGCCAAGATAATATTTGAATACATAGTTGGTACAAATAAGCTGAAATTTTGAATCTCCCCCCCGCTAATAACAACCCAATCCAACCAAGAAAAAGTACAGAGAATTTAAATGCGTTCAACTGGTCAAGAACAGATACCATTTTATGAAGATCACCAAAAAGTAAAATTCAACTATAAACTTCTAATTGATCAACTGCTGGAAAAAAGTGGGCTTAATAAATGTGGTCACGTAACCTATATTGATCTTGCACCTTGATAAACCTGAAAATAAAAGTTGCACATCACAATTCTTTAGAGCTCGAATCACATTACCAATCATTTAGACATCAAAGGACACCTGTTAGTTGGAAAGGAGAATAAAACATGGTGGTGGTCGACAGTTCATTGAAGGCTTGCTGGTGCTAACAATTCTGCAGTTCCTAAGAAACTGTACTGAATAGTTGTTGTCTTCCCCCTCTTCTGTGCAATCAGGGGAAAATATAAATTATATTACCACACCAAACTAAAACTCCATTTCTTATTCCACAAAGAAAGTTGTGTTTTACCAAAAGAAAGGAAAACACACAAACAACCGAAGCACAAAATCACCAGAGAAAACCCAAAAGCAAACCAACTACTATTGCAAGGGTCTAAAGGCCACAAACAAAAAAGCATGGCAACATGAGAACACATTTTAGTACACAGGTAGATAGCAATTTCTCATGTAACAGAAAGACACAAATGACAAAACCATCACCAACATTGCAGAACCCACCTAACCCAGTTAGGTTTAACAAAATTCCTTTATCACCCAACAACCTTTCCTCAAATCCAAAAACCAATGAAAAAAATCACAAAAAGGAAGTCAATTCGAGGTTGTCAATCGCAAGCAAAAGATGAAACTCATGAAGGCAAGACAGCCCTGCTGAACCAACTATATGGCAAAGGGTACTTGCTTGGTTCAGTTGGACGCACACCGATGACGGGAATACTCTACAAACACCGCAGTTAGAGGAGAAGAGAGAAACAGAAGACATTAAAAGTAAGATATAGAATCACCAAGCAGTAAAGAGAGAAGAGAAAGACTGAAAATCTCGCCCGACGTCACTATTTCGAAGCTCCTCTCCTTCGCTTAGGATTTTTCAACTAATAGATCTTTAAATCCAAGAAACCCTGTCCTCTAGATGTACTTACGTGGGTTTCAACAACCACCACGGCCACCCAAACCTCTACCAGGAACTTGTCACATGCATCTGTTTAAAGAGAGAAAATAATTTACGAATTAAGCTGAGAAAAAGCTAAACATCGCAGAAGAGAGATGAAGCAAAGACATCAAATTCTCACCCCATAACATTAGGTTTCACATATCTCGCTCCCCTCTGTCGGGATTCGAATCCAATCTACAATCTAAATCCCACAAAATCAAATGAGATCAGAAAAGATTGTTGTAAGACTTAGAAGTGCATCAAATCTTATACAGAGCTCGTGTCCTTCGTTCCTCGGAGAGGTCGGAGAAGATAAAGAAACCTGCATAAAGGATCGAACAAATACTCCGAGAAAGGATGAGAGAACGAACCCATTTAGGAACAAAGAGAAACAAATACCCATCAGAAGAGGAGGAACAATCACCTGAACCAAAAACATATATGGGCAACCTGGAACTTTCTGGATCCACTCCGGGTCCGTCAAACCCAAATCTTGATCGCTTCAAACTTTGTTCATATGCTAAGAAGAGAGATTCGAGAAACCAAGGAAGAGAGAGAATGAGTTGCTGCTTGCCATGGTTGAGTTGAGAGGAGAGAACAGAGAGGACATGAGAAAGAGAGTAAGAGGTTGCAGGAGCTATCTATGTCTCTGTCGCTTTTCAGTGTTAGTCTATGGAGAAGACATTAGGGAATGGACCGGGTAGCTGGAATGAGCGGACCAAAATGAGGGAGCTACGTGGAGGCCTGACAACCAACCAAGAACAAAAATATCTCACCCCCCAATCCCAATCTCAAGAAATAGAGAGGACAACATGCCCCCACCCAGTCCCCCAGTGACCAACGCGATTTCTCTTTCAGTATCTCTCATATCCCCCCGACGCAAAAGCAACAAAAACAGCACACAATCGGCGGCAAAGAGTAAATGAGAAGCCAAAGTGACACAGAGGGCCCACCACAGCCCAACAACCAATCAACACTCGGTGAATAGTAATTTTGAGTCACAATGAATAGGAAAAACAGTCTGAATGTACAGTAATTGTTGTTTTGAGCTATTATACTTTTAATTTCGGATTGGACGGGGAAAAGCAAGATACAAATATATAATTATAAGATTGTTGTAGATTAGTTAAAAAAGAGTAAAGTATGATGGTTAATAAGATGTTGAACCAAAGATGAGAGTATTGTTTTGTCAAGATGAGCAGCTCTATTATATTTACTTTGGTGCAAAGTGAAATGACACTCAATCTCTTAGTTTTATTTGCAATTGAATAAACGTTGTATGTATTAATAATAACTAGTAATAAGCCCGCGCTTCGCGGCGGGAAATGCTGAAATTGCGCAATTTTCGTCACTTAGATCCTACCATTTGTGCATCATCGGATGCAAGACTCGTATCGTGATTTTGTAAAAAAATTATATTGGACTGTAAACCTCTTCTTTATGCACTCGTCAGTTTGATTGGAGTCACGTAAAATGCACAGATCAACATGCAATTTTGCACTATGCAAACACACGAGTACTAAAACTTGCTATCTCAATAAAACCTAAGCATCCATCAATGGAACACTAAACATTATGCCCAGATTTCCATAAGGACCATATGGCCCAAAAATAAACTCCCTAAACCTGAATCTGCAAAAGTGTCTGATAGTTGCGAGCATGCATACATATAATCAACTGTCCGATGATGCGTGGGGGACATGAAATTCAGGGAGCTGGGAAGTTTGACCAAGAAATAAAATATGGTTAACGATTTCTTGATCAAACAATGTTATGGATGAGAGAGCATGATCATTTGTCGAAGGCAGTTCGGTCCCAGAGTGTGGCAACTCTGATCTGTCCGGCAGCTCTGGAAGCACTGTTGCTCAAATCTGGCCAGGCAATGTACAACTCTGCTGCAAATGTCTGGACACAACTACTCTTAATAAGTGCCACAACTTCTTCTTTTTTCATGTAACGAAATTTTGCGGGCGACACATGAATTAGTGAGAGGACTGCTTCATGTTCGAACACAACATCAGCTTCGACTGAACCTTGACGACACCTGACAGCCAATTTATAATGCAAGCTTGCAATAAAAAAGGTTGCGGTTAGTTTTGCCCCAAAAATTTGAAAAGTAGTGTTGCAGAAAAAGGTGGACCTAGGTGTTGCAAACTCACTCTGGTCGTTCTGGAGTTGAACTGCACATGCTCTTTCTATACACAACCTGTGAGATGTGGATGATGCATTGATAAAGGATCTGTGGTAAAGAATTTAATGTCTTGGTTAGTAAGAAGTTGAGAAAGAATGTTGTGGTTGCTTGTTTATCTTGCAAAGCATTAAGTTCTGTAAGTACCTTTTGTCTTTCTGGCTGGCCATTGAGCTGCTCCTTGATTTCCGCTAGAGTTTTCTTTGGTGGCCGATTGGTGCGGAGCCAACCAATTTTTTCTCCAGCTGGACCATCAATGTACCAAACTGGTTTGCGGGCCTACACAAAGCTATCTTGCGATAAAAAAAATTGGTCAGTTATCCTTTACTGTTTCTGTAATATAAAACAATAAAGTAATGCACGGCAAAAGAAAGCAACTCATTTGTACATGTCCATGACATCCTCACAGCCATCTGTGTAGGAACGAATGCTGAGTCGACTGGCAGGTGTGGATTCAAACTCATATTGGTATTTATGGTCGTTGGTAGGAGCTACTCGCATCAGTGATGTAATTTTGACAATCAACGACATGCACTGTTCAGCTGCTGGTGCATTCTCTAAAAATTCACCGATATCATACCCATAATGGCGAACAATTGCCTTATCTCCACTGATTGCAAGGCAAATACGTGAGTTTCTGAATTTTGCAAACAACAATAAGTTTCTTTTAATCCTGAAAAGCATACCAGACATCCTGTATGACCAAGTCGAATTTCTTTAGACAACCTTCGATGGTTTCTGGAACTGTGATACGCCGCACACACCCTGTCACTTCTGTAATTTCAATTGTTAATATGTTATTGGAAGCTGTAAAATGATTGTGTGAAGATGTTATGTAGAAAACGTTACCTGCATGGCATTCAAACTTGGGTGTTCTTATTGGCAATGCTGAAAAAGTGAATCGCAGGTAT